CCCCTCCACCCCCGGGTCATCTGGTTTTCCTCTCTTTGCCACCCTCTCCCTCCTTCCCCTGGTCTCTCTTTTTCTCTCTGGAGGTCAGGGGTTCAATCACCGGCCGTTGCCTGAAGGGATGGCAACATGAAGATAACGTGCATAGAGGGGGGGGAAAGCAAGGGATGAAAAGAACGAGGGCAGAGGGAGGCTTGTTCAACTTAAAGGAGAGAAAATTAGAGTGGATGTGATGTTTGGACCTCACGATGTGTGGCAAGTTACTTACCATACATGTGGTAAGTTATATGAAGGTCTCAGGTAGTGATTCAAATCCTAAACACCTTCTTACTTTGGAAGAAATTACCAAGACCATATGTTCCACTGTGTTCTCTCCGTAACGTCTGATAAATTTCAACCACTTCTCTGTTTCTGAAAATATCTGATGAAACTTTTTCACAATAAAATGTAAATAAGCATTTAAGGCAGGGTATTTTGTATTTTCCAGGAACATAGTTCAGTTCTGTGCTATATCAAGTAACTATATTAACTTCATTTGTTAATGCTGTAAATATCAGAAATAAATTTGACTTTGCACCATCTAACTGCCTTGAACTTGGCCTCTGTCTTTTCAAGAACCTTCTGCCATTTCTGACACTCCCACTTCAGCACATCTTAAAATCAGTACTTCGGGGTAAGGGTGCTCTGTGGGGGAGGAGCCAAGCTGGGCGATGCCTTGTACAAATAGGCGGTGCTTTGTACCAGCAAGTGTTGAAGCAGCTCCAATTGGCTACCACAGGAGATTTGAGGAATACCCCCCCCCCAACCACCACCATTTTAAAACTGAATTTAAATATGAAAATTTCATCCAGTTGATTAGAAGATATTTTGCTAACAGACAAAATAAGCAATTACACGATTTCATGGCAATATTTATTTAAAAAAAAACATGAATATTTTACTCCATTTTTAGATATGGCAACCGTTTCCTGTGTTTGCCAGCCTCTCCAACACTTTTCCGTCATTTTTCACCTTTGTCAACCAGTTTAACTTTTAATAAAATGAGGGAAATGCATAAAATGCGGTTTTATGTATTACTGTTTAATTATTGCTTATTTTGTTTTTTTCCCCCAGATGCTGAGAGAAGGGAAGCAAGCATACGATGAGAACATTCACTATCCTCTCCTCATCACCCTGACCAAAGGACCTCAACCTGTCAACCACGCTCAGTAAACCACAAGAGAGCTCCACTCTATATTTTTGTGTTTGGAAGCAGAGTGGGACAAAGTCAGTATGTTTCAGCCATGTGCCAGACTACTATCAGTTCAGAGGATGATCAGAGTTTTAAATAAAACCCTGTCCAGATGTATTAATCATTATACCAAACTGTCGTCTGGTCAGACAAAAGCCAGATAACCAGTCAGTATTTTGCTTAAAATTCAATCATATAATGAGCCTTTTTAATTATCCACTCATTTTTGTTTTCTTATTTCAGCTAACAAGACAAATATTCAGTCAGATACTTAATTTTTGTTAAACTAGTTATCCACATAGTACATCACATTAATATTTTTACATGTATCAGGTATTCAGTGAGTTCTTTCCCCCTTTAACCAGTCACTGTTAACCCAAGCCACTGTGTTTCTGTCCTCAGCATGGAGGCCATCTTTAATTCACTGACTGTCACAGTGTGAAGCAACTCACAGTTTCCTCTCCTTCCACCTCTAATTTCTTTTAACACAGCTCATTCATCCCAGCCAGAGGTCAGCACAAGAACTTCATTTGTGCATTTCTTACAACGGTGCATTAACACATTAAGGCACATTCAGATTAAAAGAGCAATCGTTGCTTCCAGGAGCTGCAGATTGCATATTACACAACGTTATTGCCACGGGACAAGTAGAGCCAATTAAATGACACCTTGATTAATTTGACACAACTCTGTTGGCGTTACAATGTGTTTGAGCGGAACAACACACTGAGTTTAATTCTGTAATTCTGTGACCTTTAATTCCGCTCTTCACTTGTGGTTTGAGTTTTTGAAATTGAATTGATGACTTTTATTAACTAATGTGTAGAACTCAGCCTCAGATCTGCTGTGTCAGATGTCCTGGTTTTGAAGTGAGACACCTGAACGTGTGGAAGTGGATCCTGCAGAGACAAGATAAAGACTCTTACAGAACCACTGTATTTGCATTTATTGACCAGATACTGTGGAATTGATTTTAAAAAATTGTTTGTGTGTGAGTGAAGTTGTTGCCATTATCAGTTTGACAGGATGTTTTATTTAAACCAGTTAAGTTAGATTGTATGTATGAACAACACAACTTTCTGGTTTCTGTTGTTTACACTTCTGAGTGTGTAAAGAATAATAATAATAAATTAATTATTTTTTCTTCTGATAACCACTATTCAGAGCATACAGGTGAAAAGTTGACATTGGTACTGGTGAATGGGGATGGGGACCTCATAAGTGGGCCCATTACTCTTCCCAAAGAGACACTGAGCTTTTAATCAAAGCTTTGTGTCCCTCGGGTGAAGAAAACCAGGTTAGAAAAGTTGATACGTTGAATGATTAAACAGCAGCCAAGTGTTTTCTGTTACCGCTGTGAGCGTTCATGAGCTGCAGCTGTTATCAGACATGTCTCACATAAACGTCTCTAAGAGAAAGAGGAAACTCATTTGTTGAAGAACATACAAGAACATAATGGGTGCCAAGTGTAAAATAAAACGTTAAAAATGTCACTAATGCATTTGTATTATTTAGCTCACTTCCTGAGTGTAAAATCTTGGTTAAAACATTTCCAGTAACATTTTATTATTTACCTCATTATTATTAAATTTTGCTAATGTTTGCTAAATGTTGTTTTATGAGTTAAATTATAAATCTAAATGTAAAAGTTAAATAAATTCTAAATGCTATGGCTAAATGTTAATGTTTACATTTCAGTATTGCGGAATGGAACGCACCCTTTGTGATGATGACAAAAACAACAGCTGACGCTTCCCCACAAGACATCAAATTTGCAGTTGCGGCTGGTGTCCAAGCTGCACTAAAAATTGTTGAACTGCAGGTACAGTCCATATCATTTTCAGTGAACAGGTTTTAAATTTAAATTTTAAATTCCATCTTCAGCAGTGTTAGCAGCAGTAGCCTTGTTAGTGGCATTAGTGGTTCCTTTTGTCGCAGGATGATGATGTCACAATAAAAGCTAAGCACCAACAGCAAAGGCTGTGTCCCAGTGAGTAATTTATTTAGCTGCAACATTTAGGATTGACTTTTTACATTTAGATTTTAAATATACACATTTAAATTTAGTATTTAATATTTACGTTATTCAATATTTAAATGTAACATTTAGTAAAAATGTTCAATTTAACTATGAGCTTAAAAACAAACAAATAAACTAGGATTTTACACTCAGAAAGTGAGCTAAATAATGAAAATGTGTTTGTGACATTTTTTAACATTTTATTTTTCATTTCCGCCCCATAAGATCATAGCTGTGTCTCATCACGCTTTTAAATACAAACTTTTTTGTACCTGTATTCTCTGAAACTTCTTATAACTTTCTAAAAATTTAGTGTTTCAAATTAATCCTGTCTCTTTTTTTCTATTAGCTACCTGGTTTTAGGTCTTTTCTCATATATTTGTTTCTGTTTTCAGTGGTATTAAAAAGCAGCAAGTGTACTTGCAGTAATCTGTCTCCATATTACACTGTGATCCACTGGTGTACACGGCTTCCAATAAGCTATGCAGTACCTCCCAGTGGTTGCTGTTTACATTTTTGTGAGATAATCAGCCTTCAGAAATAAGAAAGGAACAACTCAGAAAGCCAATTATGCCTGTTGTCTCACTGGTTTAAGGATTAAAATTCTGTTGCAAAAGTTCAAAAGCTTGTTTAATTACATTTTTAAGCATATTTGTAATGTGATTTGCTGTATTGGATATATATATAGACTAGCAGAAATACTGTCCCCACTGTGACTGTGTGTAAAAATAAAATAAAAAAATAAAACTCCATCACGTTTTAGCTTCAACTTTAAACAATCTCTACACTTTGAGATCACTGTTTGCTCTTAAATTCACATTGCTGCTCTCAATGCCCATGTTGATCTGCTGTGATGTCATATTTCCACATGATGCCCTCACTTCTGTTTTTAGTTATTTAATCCTCACTGTGAAAACAGACAGTCAAAAAGCAGGGAAGTCTGCATTCAGAGAATTACATGTGGTCTTTGTATTGATGTTGTGCCTAAAACTTTTAATTAGTATTATTAAGGTGAGAAAGTCAAAGGTTCATTTGGGTCTGTGCCGCCACATCTTAGAAATCAAAATTTTCTAATCAAACCAAATCAGTGTTTGATCATTTCAAAGTAGTTTTGTTTTTATTTTAAGTTGCTCTTTTTACCCTTAAACATAAGTGTACAAACATTGCACAAATTAAATGAAACTGAACTCGTACAGGGTCAAAACTTTTACGGTTTTGTTTTAATATTGGACTGTTGACACGTTTTTTCTGTTCATTTTTATTTTAAGGTTTTTAATCTAGGGAGTTCTGATGGTATGACAAACACAAGTGTTAATTAAATATGTCATATTTCAGTGTCTGTACGGACATGGCCTCACATAGTTTCCTGAATGAAATCATGTTTTATGTTTGTTTGGTTTTTTGCTTCCCTGTAATGAACTCACTTGGATGTTATTCATTTCTGTGGATCATTTCTCTTTCTTTTTGTGTGAAATTAAAAACAAAATTTTTCCTCTAAGTTTGAGCTTCATTTTAATTTGTCAATTTAAAAATTGTGATGTAAAATCTAATTTATATTGCTCACTAAAAAAGCATTAAATTTCTGTAGAAGGTTATAACACAAACAAAAGACACGGTTTATCCACTGTTGCTGTGCAGATAAAAAATATTTCTTGCGATAATGATTGCCATATTTTTTTAAGTTTCTTGTGCAAAAAAATATAAAATAAAATAATTAGAAAAACATGCAATTTCCTGGTTTAAAAAATGGTGGTAAATGTTGATGGAAGTAATGAAAACTCAGATCATCTGCTGCTTGTGTTTCCAACACAATGGCCTCCTGCAGGCTAAACTGGTTCCAGACAAGGTAACACACACATCAGGCCTGCAGAACGGTCCTCCCCTCTGGAGGAAGAAAAGGGAGTGGGATAAAGGAGGGAGGGGAGGCAGAACACGGCAGCTAATCCAGCAGGCTCACTCTTCTGTTTATCTGTCAGAAAAGGGGAGGGAGAGTTTGTAGAAGGAGGGGGAACCAGCGAGGCCTCCCGATCTGTCTTTTGATATTTTAAAGAGGTCTGTTCTCTCCTCCCCAGCATTATGCTGAAGAGCCACAGAGAAGAGATAGAAAAAGCTACAGATAGAGAGAAAAGAGAGGAAGACAGAGGCTGAAAAAGACAAGAGGGCAGAGGACGAGGAAAATAAAACTGGTACCAAGACTCGCTGAATGAATGGAAGGAAGGGCAACACGAGACAGCTGGAAATGAGGGCAAACCAGATCGAAACAGCAGGGAAAAGCTTCAGTGGTGAAATAAAAAGTAGCCGACTGAGATTGACTGTCCACGAGGAATGATCGAAGAGAGAAAAAGAGAGACAGAGTGCTCCCAGCTCGACACAAGGGCCCCATTAACTTGACCACTTGCCCTTTGCACACAAAGGCAGGGCCAGCCCACCGGCCCTCCCACCCAATTATCCACGATTAGGCTCAGTGCACTGTGTCAAGATGGAGAGGGGAGGAAAGGAGGAGAGGGGAGAAAGGCGAGCAAAGGAAGGAGAAAGAAAGATGGGGGGAGTTAGAGAAGGAGAGCAAAGAATCAAGACAGCGAGTGATGGATGATGAGGAGCAGGAAATATAGTTTGGTTAAATCTGAACATCCTTTATGTAAAAGAGTCCTGTCTGAGGTGGATAAAGATGTAATATTACATTACTTACATTTGCAATAATTTGACATTTATGGACAGAAGTAATATTTTAAAACTTCAGTACACTCAGGCTTGAGATTTAACTTTTGTGTTTTTACACATGAAGGTCAATTCAGACCTCTGGCCAGTTTTCAAAGTAGACTCCCCTGTTAGCAGCTGCTGGTCAAAGGGTGCAAAATCCTTTTTTTTGCTATTAAATACATTTTTTGTGTGCTTTAAGTCTCGAGGAGTGCAGAATTTTTAAAATATTTTTCAACTTGCTCAGTTTTGTCAATTTTCTATTATATTTTCTGAACCATTACATCACAAAATTTGCAGTGGAACTGCCAAATAAGATCTGGCCTTACCAACTACAATTTAATCATCTTCATTCTCCTCTGGTGCTGAATCAGACTCTGGTTCACATGGAAGGCTGGTTTTCCATGTGAACCTCTTATGTTGTTGACACCTTTGAATTTGAAATAAAACACGTACAAATGTGCAAATAAAACATTTTTGCGCTGCTATGTTTTCACTCCTGTATTTGTTTTGCATATATATACTGTATATGTATGTATATATATA